TTCTGTTTTCACCGATTGTTTTCTTATTTTTGGTTCTAATGGATATCTCTTGGTATTCAAGAGAACTTTGTTTCGTGGACCTTGCCTCTTTACGAAATATCTTTGTAAACTCATCTTCGAGGTAAGGAAAGCTCTATTTTATCATTATAAAATGCTATTATTTTATATAATAGAGCACTGTTATGTGAGTATAAGAGAAAAAAATAGTTGGTTGTGATATATGTTATATGAAGTATGGCTAAAACTGTGGTTGTTTGATGATTTTGAATGATTGATTGATTGGGCCAAGTGGCTGATACATGCTTATTTGCATTGTGTGATGAGTACTTGATATGAAATATTATGAGACTTGTTGATTGATATTGGTGGGATATTATGAAACATGTTTGAGTAAAATGATATGTTGAAATGACTTTGGGATGAAAAGATATGCTGTTAGAATGGTATGAGTAAATGCATGTGTGAAATAAGCGGGAATGGACTTAGTCCAGAAGTGCTTTACTAAGCATGATCTTGTGAATAAGAAAAAGAATAATGCTGATATTGACTCTAAGAGTCGAATTTGGATTAATCTAGTGTGAATAGTTACAGAGATACACTGAGGGTATAGAGTCTGGAGACAATGAGAATCTCGAGGAAACGTAGGGTAGTGAGTGACATTCGCGTATGTGTTCACACTCTGTCTGAGAGCGAATGCGTCACATGGCCTCACACTCGTTTTCCTGACTAGACTCCTGACTATGCCTTTGCTAAGGGGCCAGACATTGTACATTTTGTATCCTTGTACATGGGCTAACCGACGACTATTTACCTAGTTGAGTAAGATCTCAAAAATGCTGGAGTTATCGATATCTGTGATCACAATGCACTGGGAGTGTGTATTGGAATGTGGGAAAGGAAACTGAATAATGAATTGTTGAATGTTATGTGTAATGTACATGTGTTTTGTAATGAATGTACGAGATTGATGGTATGATATTCATGATTATATTATATGATTGTATGATAAATGTTTGTCAGGATAGAATAGATACTCATCCTTACTGATAATTTCAGGGAACCAGGATGATGGAGCCCTAGGGAAGAGTTAGGCTTGTAGATAGTTCTGTAGATTTTAGATTAAATTATATATTTAATGAATACCAGAGGGTTAATTATTTTAAATTTGCTGTATTAGTAGAGGATGAACCTAGGGTTTTTGTAATGCTAGAATTGAACTACTCATATAGTATTCCTTTTGATTACCCTAGAAGTAGAATCCACCAGACCCTATGTGTATATATGTACAGAGGTACGGTTAGAACCCCAGCAGCCCTTACTTATCTTTATACCTACCACGACCACGACTCTCTTGGAAGGCTTACCCGATGGACCTTTGAGTGTGTAATGGGGACGGATGTTAGAGCTGATTCGGGTGATGGTTATCTGGGCTTAGATGATGACTTAGACTCAGAAGACCTAGCTACGATAGAGAGTCGGGACGCTGGAGATGAGTAGGATCGGTTTCCAGCAGTTGGTTTGAGTCGAGGCTACTCTGGAATTTATTTTTATCATGATTAATGATGTAAATATTATTTTGAACCCCATATATTCTGATATACAGTTTGTAAATTATGATATTTTATTTATGATGTTTTATGTATAGTCTTTTACTTATATTTTTTATTAAGATTAATACAGAAGTTTTATTTTATCGCACCATTTTTAGTTATATGAATGGAACTTATTGTATAAATTACAGTATTCAAATCCCGATCAATTTTATTGTACATGGAGTTTATATTTTTATTGAATTATAATGGCCTATATTATGAAATGTACGGAGTTTTAAAATAAAGATGTTACATGGTGGCTCAGATGATACAACACAGTTGAGCATCAACCTTTTACCACAGAGGACAGTCGGCCTCTAGGACATCGTCTGCTGTTTGGGTGAGATGTGTCTCATAACCCTGTCCAACAAGCCAAAGTTCAATGTGAGAAGCCCAGGAGGAGTAGTGTTTACCATCCAACTGCTTAGAAGAAAGAGGTGCAGTGACATGGTTGGTAAACATTTGAGTGTCGGCTTTTGGAGTGTTGGAGGCAGCCATTGGTCAGCGAGAAGAGAGAGAAAATGCCCAAACAGCAGCGAAAAAGGGCAAAACAAGGACGAATAGATGTCTAAACAACTAACGGAGACTAGATATAGGTAAAGAAGAGAGGGGTCAGCAAACCCCAGTCGACAGCATCAGGAAAAGACGCTAGACGCGCCGTCACGCGCAGAGAGAGAAGGTGATGCGTGAGAAAATCGACAGAGGAGAAGGCAGCGTGTGGGGACGCATGAGGACTCTGATGAAGGTGCAATCAGTAGTGTTTGACCGATCTGACAAAGGCAACCACAAGGGCGGGGTTGCCGTAGTGATCGAAGGTCAGACGGCGGCGGCGGCAGCGCTGAAACAGTGGCAGACAGTGGTGATGGCGTTGGAAAAAAATAGCACCGGTGAACAATGGGTCCACCGGAAAAAAAAATATATTACGGTTGCCTCTCTAGGCTCTAGATACCATGTTGAGAGAGAAAATATTGAATCCGTATGTTTTAGGGCACAACGGAGTTATTCAAATTTATAAAGAAGAGTACATAATTACAAAATATACAGCTACTATATTTACAAGATTCTAATATATTCTAACAATAGGGATTGGCTGAGTAATTACAGCTGATCATAATTACCCTATTTACATAATAAATCAAACTTCTATATACAAGGAAAGAATAGTAACTACATTAATAACTGAAATACAAAGATTCTTAACATTGATAACCAAGCAATTTTGCCACCCAACATTGTTGGTCTGCAGAAATTATTCGCTGCTGTAGTAAGTGCGTCAAACTCCTTTGATTTGTGTAAACCACAAACTATCGATCTATCCAACTCCAATATTGAGTGGCAGAAACCATGGCCATCAACTCCTTCTCATAGACAAATTTAGCCCATTAAGCCTCCAACAAAGCCTTGTTAAAATATGCAATAGGTTGACCCTTCTGCATGAGAACAGCCCCAAGTCCTTTCCCAGAAGCATCACATTCCACCTCAAACTTTTCATTTGGCATAGTTAGCACAGGTGTTGTGACTAAAGCCACTAAGAATTTTAAAGACATCTTCAACATCTTCTCTGCACTAAACTCGTCCTTCTTTGTTAGAACAGTGAGAGGTTTAGCAATTTTTCCATGTCCTGCAATGAGCTTATGATAGTACCCCGTTAATCCAAGAAAACTTTGTACCCTTTTCACATTCTTGGATCTTGGCTAATCCTGGACATGTTGCACCTTATTCTGATCCACCTATACCCTTTTGGATGAGATAACATGCCCCAAATATTCCACTTGACTTTATCCAAAACAACACTTTTGCAGATTGGCAACAAATCGGTTCTGTTTTCATATCTACAAAACACACGCCAAATGATACATATGGTTAGACCAATTACTGCTATATATCAAAATGTCGTAAAAAAAAAGACCAACACAAATTTGTGTAAAAAAGGTTTAAAGATCATATTCATCGCAGCTTGAAATGTAGATGGTGCATTTATTAATCCAAAGGGTATAACTAGATATTCATAATGGCTTTCATGAGTTCGGAAGGCTGTCTTGTGAATGTATTCTTTTTACATTCAGATTTGATGATACCTAGATTTCAAATCCAACTTGGAGAAGAAAGAAGATCCAAATAGCTCATTTAATAACTCATCAACTACAGGAATTGAGAACTTTTGGAATAGTGACTGCGTTTAGTGCTCGGTAGTCTACACACATCCTCCAAGTATTATCTTTCTTTTTTACCAATATCACTGGGCTGGAGAAAGAACTTGAAGTGTGACAAATGATCCCCCGTTTCAACATTTTGCGGACTTTTGCAATTTCATTTTTATGATGACGAGGATATTTGTAAGGTCGTACATTTATAGCTTCTACCCCATCTTTCAAGATGATGGAATGAAAAATAGTTCCTACTGGTGGGAGTCCATTGGTTTCCCTAAAAATTGCACTATGTTCATCCAATAGCTCTTGTAGCTCTCTCATTTGAATTGGAGACATATCTGAAAATCCTCCCAAAGTCTATGATGCTGGTGTGTCCCATTTCAACCCGTCCTCCTTGTTCAACAAATTGTAAAAAGGTGTATGTTCAGCTAGGAAACGTACTTTTCTTTTATTTCCATCATTTTGCATTCCTTTTAACTCCACTATTTTTCACAGTCAATCAAAATTCATGCGCATGTCACCCCAATCTATAATAACCTCTGAAGCATGGGTACTCCAATTTTTGCAACGTACCGGTACCGGGTACGTACTGGGTACGGGTACGCATAGGATACGGCTGGGTACGTACCTGGTACGTACCCAAACACTTTTGCAAACAAAAAATAATGGGTACGTCGACGGGTACTCGGGTACGTTAATGGGGTACGGGAAATGAGAATTTTTTTTGCAAAAAACTAGAAAAGTTTGTTAGGTTTTATTTAGGCCCAAAATCAACCCGTTCTCCCAATCTTATTTCGCACAGTTCACCCTCCACTTTCAGCCTCCAAACCGTGACTTCTCTCATCCTCCATCAGCGGCACAACAACGGCGTCTAGCGGCATCCTCCATCTGCAAAACTGCTCCCGTCTTCCATTTGCAAAAAGCTAACGCCCAGCAGCATTCAGGGCAGCGTCCTTCAATTTAGTGGCGGCAGCAACGGCGTCCAGGGCAGCATCCTCCATCTGCAAAACACCAACGTGTCCAACAGCGTTCAGGGTAGTGTCCAGCAGCGGCAGCGACAGCGAGAGCGGCGTCCAGCGTAGCAGTGTCCAGCGTCCAAACCCCTTCCAACCTGCACACACCACTCCGTTCAGTGTCAACCCTCAATTGCTCCAAGGTAAATTTTAAATTTTTAATTAATCTCATGTGTTAGGAACACTAAACTTGATCTGAATTAAATAAATTAGTGATTCAAGTTTATTAATTTATTTTGTAACAGATGCAATCACAATATTCTAGTAGTGGGTCTGGTAGTGGTTCTGGTTCTAGGACATCCAGTAAATTTTCCACGGGATCAATTGAGGGTGAAAATCCTCTTTGGGGTTATGTAACTTTGCTACAAAGTAAAAAAGATGGTAGAGGAAATGCAAGTTGGAGTTGCAACTTTTGTCAAAGAACTTACAAGGGTTCTTATTTTAGAGTGAAATCTCATTTATTGAAAGAAAGGGGACATGGGATAGCTACTTGTTTATCTGTCACAGATGAATATTTACAAGAGATGAAACAACTTGAAAGAGAGGCTAGTAAAAAATCAAAGTTTGTGGATGTTCCTTTGCCTATTGGAACTACAAGTTCAAACCCCCCTATAGCTGATGGGAGCAAGAGAAGAAGAGCAATTGAAAGTCCATTAGGAAGGGCATTTAATAATGAGGCAAGAGACCATTTATCATGTGAAATAGCCAGAATGTTTTATTCTGCAGGTTTACCATTCAATATTACCAGAAATCCTCATTTTATTAGTGCATTCACATATGCTGCAAACACTTCTATTTCGGGATTTCTTCCTCCTTCTTATAATGCTATAAGGACTAGTATGTTGCAAAGAGAAAAGGCTCACATTTTAAGGTTACTTCAACCTATAAAAGATACTTGGCCAGAAAAGGGTATAAGTATAGTAACTGATGGTTGGACTGATGCACAAAGAAGGCCATTGATCAACTTTATGGCAGCTTCAGACTCGGGACCTATGTTCTTGAAAGCTATTGATGGTTCTGGTGAATATAAGGACAAGCATTACATTGCTAATTTAATTTTTTCTACAATTGATGAGGTTGGACCACAAAATGTTGTTCAAGTCATTACTGATAATGCTCCTGTTTGCAAGGCAGCTGGATTAATTGTTGAATCTATCCATCCTCATATTTTTTGGACACCATGTGTTGTACACACTTTAAATCTTGCCCTCAAAAACATTTGTGCACCAAAAAATACACCAACTAATGAGGTTGTTTATGGTGAGTGTAGTTGGATTTGTAATCTTGCTGATGATGCTTATTTTATTAGAAATTTTATAATGAATCATTCTATGAGACTAGCCATGTTTAATGCATTTGTGCATTTGAAGCTACTTGCAATTGCTGAGACTAGATTTGCCTCAACCATTATTATGTTTAAAATATTGAGAACTATTAAGCATGGTCTCCAATCTATGGTTATTAGTGAAGAATGGTCTCACTATAAGGAGGATGATGTTGAGAAGGCTACAGTTGTGAAAGAAACAATTTTAAATGATAGTTGGTGGGATAAAGTTGATTATGTTCTAAGTTTTACAAAGCCCATTTATGATATGCTTCGTTGTTGTGATACTGATAAGCCAAGTCTTCACTTAGTTTATGAGAAATGGGATTCTATGATTGAGCAAGTGAAGTTAGCAATATATCAATAAGAGGGTAAGGAGTTGAATCAACATTCATCCTTTTATGATGTGGTTTATAACATCTTAATTGATAGATGGACTAAAAGCTACACACCTCTTCATTGTTTGGCTCATTCACTCAATCCTCGGTAAAATTTAATTAATTTAGTTTAGTCCTTTTACTTTATTTACTTTTTTTCTCAAGTTCCAATTGACTTATTTATATACTTTATATTTGCATAATAGGTATTATTGTAGACAATGGCTTGAGGAAGCTCCAAATCGACTTCCACCACATAAGGATAATGAGGTTTGCATAGGGAGAAATAAGTGCCTAAGAAGTTACTTTCCAGATTCGAAGGAAAGGTTAGAGGCAACTACTGAGTTTGTTAAATTCTCAAGTTCTTCTGAAGAGCTTGGCCAATTTGATTCTTTGCAAGATAGGTGGAACTTAAAACCAAAAGAATGGTGGGTTATGTATGGAGCTGCAATTCCTAAACTTCAGTCCATAGCCTTGAAGCTTCTTTCACAACCATGTTCTTCTTCTTGTTGTGAAAAAAATTGGAGCACATATTCCTTTATCCACTCTTTGAAAAGAAATAGGCTTAATCCTAAAAGAGCTGAAGATTTAGTATTTGTACACACAAATCTTCGTCTGCTTTCAAGGAAAAGTAAGAATTATTCTGAGGGTGAATCTAGAATGTGGGATATTGGTGGAGATGAATGGGATTCAATTGAAGGTGTTGGGATTCTTGAAGTTGCTAGTCTTTCTCTTGATGAACCAGATCTAGAGGCAGTTATTTTTACTGATGATGTGGAAGGAAATAATGAGATTGACACTGTTAAAGTTTGATTTTCTTAATTATGTTTTAGTATTGTCATGTCATGTTGAACAATTTAAGTATTGTAATTTGTATTGTAAGATGTTTTATTATCTTTGTGGACAAATATATGCCTTTTTTATGTTATATAATATATGATATGTTAAAATTTGTGTGCTTTTATTTTATATATAATTTTTTATATTTTTTTAATTGACGTACCCGTATCTTAATTTTTTTAAAAATGCCGTATCCCGTACCCGTATCCGTACCCGGTACCGGTACAGTACCCGTATCCGTACCCGGTACCGGTACAGTACCCGTATCCGTACCCGGTATCGGTACAGTACCCGTATCCATGCAACATTGATAATAACCTTGCCTAGAGTTTGTAGCCATGTTACTCCTAAAATCACATCCAATCCTCCAATATCTAACACATGAGCATCAACCTTCATTTCAGCCCCTGTCAGCTGGAGCATAATTTGACAACACTGACCTTTGGTCCTCACCACATGTCCATCCCCTAATCTTACTTTAATGTGCATTGTTTTTGCACCATTTGAACCCAACTCAGAGAAGCCTAATAGACCCATCACATTGCATTCCAGTCCCTTGTCCTCTTCCACATCGTCAACTTCTATCACTTCTTCATCTTCGCCATCCATGTCTCTTTCATTCTCAGCCAACAGCATGACACAGAGAGTTCTGTTTGGGCATTGATGTTTCAGTCTAAATCTATCTCCGCACCTGAAACACAGTCTCAACCTTCTTTCCAGCAACTCCTCATTTGTGAGATGCCTAATACCCCTGGATTTAGGCCCTGCTCCTATACGATTGCCATCATTTCTACTCACACTTGAATGAACCATAGGAGTTGTGCTTGTCCGTTCGTGATGGCCCTTGCTGAATGGTAGAAGAAAACTCCTTTCTTGTCCCATTCTTGATCCCCATCGCATTCGCATATCCTCCTCCAAGAAAAGTCTGAATTCTCAGTCTAACTTCTGATTTCAAAGCCCCCATGAAATATCTCAAATACTAACTTTCAGGTGATTTGGGAACTTGGGATGCCAACACCTCAAAGGCCTCAATGTACTCTTCTAAAGAACCCTCCTACTTCAATAAAGACAATTCTTTGAACGGATTATCAAGACGACCTACCCCAAATTTGACAATCAAGGATTGTGTCAGATTGTCCCACATAGGCTCTTCCTCCTCCCTCCATAGGTTGAACCACCATGCATAACTTGGCTAACTTCACCTTCATCACTTCTGCTGTCTCATGCACCTCGAAATAGGTATCGGTCTTGCAAATCCATTCCACGGGATCAACTCCATTGAACACTGGAAGTTTCACTTTCTTGGTTGGAGAACATAATCCCTCAAAACTTCCACACCCCTTTTGATCATTTTGTGAGGCCACAATATTTTGATATTCCTCTTCCCTAATGCTGTTAAATTTCTGAATTTCTCTGATCAACATTTGTTGTGTTTCCTGCATTCCCCGCATTTGTTCACCAAACGCTGTTTGCCGCTCCACTTGTTCTTGATAAGACGTTTGTAGAACCCCAATCATCGATTCCACTTGCTGCATCCTTCTTTCATGAACGTTGACCTTCTCACTCATTCTTGTTGACATGGGAATATGCATATCCAGAGATTGAACCTTCCTTTCTAGAATACAATTTTCCCTCCCCATTTTTGTTATCTCTTTCTCCATTTTTACTTCTTAACTAACTAACTAACTCTGCGTTTAATGGTTGGTCCTTTCTTACTTGCATACACATGCCATATTTTGGGCTTCACTCTGATTATTTTCTATAATTTTTGGTATAACAAATGTGTGCATTTTATTGGAAAGTTAAGAATTAATTTTCTAATGATAAAACAAACACTGCCATAGTCTTCTTAGCACAAGAGGAAACTAATGGCTCAAGACTTTTGCTGTTGAATTGCTTAATCTTTTATTATGGGAGAAAATTAAGGGTATGTTTGGAGGAAAAGGAAGGGATTGACAAGACTACTATATTTTTTATAATATAAACTTGTACTAATCGATACTATTATATTTTATAACACTAGTTGATTGTGAAGGAAGGGATTGACATTACTGTTATATTTGGGGAATGATCTTCTTACAGTAGTTTAAGTCTATTATATTTTATAACATTAATTCTTTTGTTTCCTTATTCCTTTCTTCTTCTTTTTTCCACTCATGATAATATCAGGCTTATATGAACTGTAACATTGATCGCTGAATACAGTTAGTGACTGATCGTATATTTAGTAATGGCTTTGAAGATGATGATATCATTTACATATTTTAATATGTATAGGAAGATGGTGATGGCCAAATAGCCACACCTTCTTTTTCAGTTATCACTAGAGAGAATCCTACGATCAATGATGTTAGCATCAGAGACTCTCAAGACATTGCTTAAACTCGCTCCTGCAGGTGAATACTCTTACGTCTATTCATTACTACTTTTGCTTTTATTTATCTTTTTAAATAGAGTAAGAAAAACTTGTTTATGTTTATTTGTCTATGTAAAAATTAAGACTATTAATTGTTACTTTTTCACTATATACCTTTTTGCCCATGTAAAAATTCAAAGTATAATAAATAAAGCTTTTAAACTATTTAAAAAGTGTACAGTTCAAAGAGGGATGGTGTAGTACTAAAATAAATAAAGATAAATTAAGAAATAACAATTAGATTCCTTAATTTAGGTAATTTCTTCTTTGTCTGAATGATAAATGGAAACGGAGGTAGCATCATTTCTAGCCTTCTCACCTTTTCGATTTTAACTCTTGTCACATCCTCCTCTGGTGTAATTTCTTTAAATGTGAATGCCTATATGAAAGCATGTTCAATTATTAAATAACAATTTTTTTTTATAGGATTTTCAGAAGCAGAAGGCCCTGCAATGATAGAGGGAATTTCTTGTACCATTGTGGAGCAAGTCATTGCTAGCTCAACTCTTAAAGAGATCACTCCTGCTGTATGTGTTGAACATTCAACTAAACCTGCAACTACTCAACTAATAGTGGAAGAAACAGGTTTAGTGCCTCTAGAAGTAACAAGTGAATCAACTTTTCTAGGGATGGATGAGATTAAGAAGCTGATCGAAGAAGACCCTCTTAGTGCACTTGAAAATCTTCTCACTGGGAAAGTCTCTATTTCACAAATTCAAAGTTCTTCCATTGGAATTCTACTTCAAGATTTGAAGGCTTTATTAATGGACTCAAACCTCGACCATCTTCTAACTCATGAAGAGTCTAGATCAAAACTGGTTTCTCTCTTGGCGCAGTTGAATCACCATCAAAGGCTCTTATCTTCTGAAACCAAGAACTTTGTCAAGAACGTTGAGAACTTCTTCAATGACTACTTGGGAAAACACACAATTTCTCAACAAGTAATAAAGAAGCACAAACAACTTCTCCAATCTAAAGATGGTCTTCTTAACAAGCTTTCAAGTGCAAAAAGAACACAAGCCCACATCGACAATAAAAGTTGCACAGCCAAGGTTCAAATAAATAAGCTTTCTTTGAAAATTTGTGATCTTAGAAAACTAGTGGCAGAAATGGAGCATCAAAGTGATGCTCTGAAGTTAACAATGAAAATGTGTGATCTTGAAAAGGAGAAGTTGAAGGCTGAATGCACTCACTGGGCCCAACAGGCTACACAATTACTTTGTGAACTTGCTTCCTCAGAGATTGATGTCCGAGAAGTTCAACATGCCAACAATATGGCAAAAGAAGCCTTTGCAAATCTTAAATCATCTTTTCCTACTTTTTAAGTCGTGATATTGTAATCTTCTTTCCTCCTTGGCACTTGAACTTACAACTTATTTAGTATTCAATTTCAGCTTTCTAAAGTGTTGGTTTATAAATTGTATGTCTTCTAATATTTGTCATTAATAAGAAAAAAAAAAGCTAGTTATACACTTTTTTAACGTTGTGTGGTTAATTTTTAACTAACCACAAATAAGTATTCCCAAGTAAATGTAAAAAGAAAAATATGTAAATATGATTAAACCGATTTATTGTGGGAGTATTAAAACATTTTATAATAAATGGGCCAGCAGTGAAGGATGTATATATAGGTCACGGACGAGTTCTTTGAAAGAAAGAAGAGCAATATTTGGAAACAAATGGATAATGAATATGTGGCCAATATTTGCAAATGAATGCATTATCTGAATGTGAGGCCACTACTTGCATATATGGAAAAGGGAATACCACACTGAATCAATAACGGAGAATTCACACTCGAGCAGCTAGCATCAGTGGCTAACTCATCACACGCCTGGTTAAGTATGTATTTACCCTCTCATGTGTGTTCTTTAACAAATGTTTGAATTATTTTTCATCTCAATTCTATTCATATTCCCTCTCTTTTGTCTATAAAAAACGTATGGTCTCCTTTTGTTCTGTTAATTTGCTCTTTCAATTTGTCTATCAAGGCATTATTTTCCCTTTCAAATTTTAGGAGTGCATTTGAAGAGTTTCTAAAAATAATTTATGACCCTCGAAAGTTCTTTTTCATTTATTTTAATAACTTTTTACAATAAGCTTTTTTCAATACATATCAATAAATTTTATGATCAAATTTATGTTATAAAATTTTTATAAAATAAGAACGTATTAAACAGGATGTTAAATTTTTATTCATTGGAGTCACCAAAATGTTAGTCAAGTATATACATTATTGATATTGGATATGCAACAATAGCAACATGTATATATTAATTAAACCATCTGACAGAAGCTTCTACGTTCAAACAAGATCTTAAGACAGTGTTTGAGATTGATGCATATCCACATTTGCTTTATACTATTTCATTTTAATGATACAATTCGAACGATTTTCACTTTTTATGACAATAAGAATCTCAATTCAACAGATACATAGGAAAAGAAGATGCATTTGTTTCACACAGAAGAGAAGCAATTAAACACTTGGAAATGAAGGACAGTGCATAAATTTGCTGTACCAGAAGGTGGCGAGTTTGCAAGATTGTGATAATTTGCAATAGATATAGATAGCAGGGAATCAATTGGATATATGCAGTGGTCTCAATCATTTAGGCAAGGTGTGTGGACCTCACTGTAAGCTCACAGTTTATAATTCGTTAACCCAAATGTGTTATGATATAGATTAAACGAAATTTATTACATGATTGAAAACTAAAGGGCTGTTCAATTTCAGAATTTTCTTTTAATTCTAATAATGTCATCCTACTTTATTATATTTTTTGTTTTTAAAAATTTGTATAGAAAATAGTCAAAAATAATAATAATATTTCTTACACAACTTTAGAAAAAGAAAGAAAATATGATAATATTGTTATAATTAAAAAAAGCGTTTTGTAATCAAACTATGTTTAATAATTTTATAAAAAGAATTTAAATCAACTATATATATAAAAGCATTTGAGTCTACATAATTGTGAGCACGGAATTGGCTAGAAAAGTAGGGTGTCCATATAATTTGTGTCACCTTTGATGATAAAGATAAGATTTTTACTTGCCTCTACTTTATATTCTATCGCTTTGTTTCATTTTCTTTTCGGCTGTTTTAATTTAACGTTATAGATTTCAAATTTTCTTTCAGAAAAGGAATGAACTTTGCATTCAATTTATTATGGGTTGACTCAATTTCTTTTTCTTCATGGAGTGTTGTTGTGATTCACTACATTGTTTTCATCACAAAACATCACAATCAAACATGTAAAGCTCTGTTTTTCTGTTTTCAAATTTAGAAGTAGCAATTCATGTTGAGTAATTAATGCATTTGATGTGGTCAGGGGATAGTTCCTAGAACGATGGAGTTAAGATCATTGACATTGCAACCCAACTTGACACAGTTGTTACCAACACTCACATGTTGTGTCAAACCTTCTTTCCAGCATTTACACCAAAAGGAACTTTCACTGAAAATCAGTAGAAGGTTGGTGGCTTTGGCAGCTGTAACTTCCTTGATTTTGGGTGGAGAAGGCAATTTTATGACTCAAAGTGCAAATGCATTTGACTTTAGATTTGTGGCCCCAGGTCAAACAATTGAAGAGGCATTGAGTGGAGTTAAGGATCATGCACAAGATTTGTTACAAGTTAGAGAACTATTAGAGTCTGAGTCATGGAAAGCAGCTCAAAAGACATTGAGACAAAGCTCAGCACTCTTGAAAAAGGATATATATACAATAATCCAAAACAAGCCTGGAATTGAGAGGCCCCCACTAAGGAAGCTCTATTCTACTCTCTTCAACAATGTAACTAGAGTAAGTGTTGTAACATGCCCACATTCAAACTCAGTCATAAATGCCTCACACATATGTATTCATTTTGCAGTTTCTATTTTTTTCTTAAATTATAATACCTTCATTCCTGTTTATGTGTTCACAGAGAGTAGAAATTACACAAATCTAAGAATCTAACTTTTTATTATAATTACTTGATAAACTTTCTAATATCCCTTTATCAGTACTTTTTGACCTTTGCACCACTTAACTAGTGCAAATGCTTTTATTTAGTGTACTATAAGCTTTCTATCAGTTTTGCTAAAAAAAGCCTTTGTAATTAAGAGTTTATTATTGTCATTGTTGTTATGAAATGGTTATCCATTAACAGTTGTTCATGTACATTGCAGCTAGATTATGCAGCAAGAGATAAAGATGGACCACAAGTCTGGCAGTGTTATGAGAACATTGTTGTAGCTGTATATGACATTCTATCCAGAATATAACTTTCCCTATCCTTTTATGTCAATAGCTGCCAAAATTTGCTTGTTTCAAGAAATGATGAAGTAGTCAAAGGTGTGGACTCAAGTAGTTGAACCAAAAAGGGAGCCTATCAAAGAGATCATGAGTTTGATCATGAAGAGTTAGCTTAAAAAGTTGAATGTTTAATAATTTTTTATAGCAGAATGATTCTCAGCCTCAGTGCTAACAAAAAAATAAAATAATTGAACAAAAGTAACATTTTAGTTTTGGTACAACAGAATTTAGGATGATATTTTGAACTGTTCAAGCTCCAACTCTGAGAATAAACTTTGAGAAGGTCATGGCTCTGATGATGAAAGAAAGTTGTTCTGTTTGCTAACATTCAATATCAGGTCTTATTTAACAGGTGTATTGTTTACTAAATAATTATATTCCTAGACTTGTCCTTGTCAATTTGAGTTGATGGGCACAAAAAATGAAGTAATTGGAAGGTGCGGTGCTTGTTGGAACTTTCGAAGCGAAGTTGATAGAATAAAAATAGATTGTGAAACCATCACATTTCTAAACTTTACTTTGGAAATGGTAGTTGAATTCGAAAGATAAAAAGGGAAGTGATGAAAATTGCAATTCATATATGTTGCTGAAAATTTAATTATAAAAAATAATTTCTCATCACAGATCATCAAGAAGGCTACATGATAATTTCACTTTTATAATATTGTTTGATAATTTATTAAATTAACTATCGCTATTTAAAATAAACAGTAAATTCAATCATCAATGATTATTGATTAATAAAGCTTGAAGAGGCAAATGACATATTAGAAAGATTCTGTTAATTCGAATCAGCCCATCGACTCAGTAGATTAATGGGTTGACTAAGAAAATTTGAAAATAAAAAATTGTAAAATTAAACACACAAACTTTGAAATAGAGATTAAAATAATAAAATATCATGATAAATTAGTTTGACTTGCTTAAATGTGTTAGTATTTAGAGATATTCAGTTAGTAAGAAACAATAAAATAATAATTTATATTAAAACCTACGGATGAACAGAAATCAGTATAAAAAAATAAAACAGAAAAAGAAAGTATTTATGCAAGGGCACACATATGAAAATTAGTACACACACATAAAAATTAAACTAGGCAAAAAATAAATCATGTTTTCAATAAAACAAACTCTAAAATTATAATCACTTTTTTGCATGTCAATCATTACTTTTTTCAAAACTTTGAACAAGCAAGCTCAAATGAGAAGAGCAAACTTAATTTTACTTAATATAACCAAACACAACAAAAAAGTTCAAAAAATTTATAGGTTCTTGAATTATTTAAATTTTTAAAATATATTCCTATTTATTTTTTAAACAATTATTATTAATTTTAAAATATTTAAATTATTTTTTTATTAGGTATTTGACCATATTTTTTAAATTTTATTAAATATATAGACCTAATTAATTTTTTAAAACAATTCAAAAATTTACTAAATACAATTAAAATATTGATTTAGTCACTGAATTTTTTAAATTTATAATAAAATTTTTATATTATATAGAACCCTACTAAAAATATCCAATTAAAAATAATTTTAAAAATTAGACATTTTAATTACGAAAACATAAACTATTAAAACTTATTTTGCAATCTCCAAATAATTCATAACCTACACAATAATTTAACTAAGAAAAATTAAAACAAAGTCTAAAGTCATACTCCAAAGTCTGAAGTCATACTCCAAATATGACACTGCTTTGTCTAATAATATTTTATTAGTATTTTCCAGGTAAATACTTTGGAGTATTTCAAGAGAAGCAATTTTAAAAGAAAGAGAATGGCCACTTCGCTATTAAAAAGAAAATGGTCACTTGCTAATTATGAATGGATAATAATAAGCAAAAGACTTGAAAGCAAATATGAATAAATGAAAAACACCACATGAAGACTTGTATGTTTAAATGATTATCCAGTGGTATAACTAGTCCGGGTGGGAGTAATTGAAAAATAAACTAAAACTATTACGTCTTAAAATTCAAAAAATAATAAAAATAGAACTATAATTTTGACCTGTGTGATACACAGATTTTTTAATATAAATTTATTAATTTTATATATTCATTAATTTTAATAAAAATAAATTTTAAAAAAATTAAAAAGTATATTTTTCTCTATTTTATCTTATTTAATTATGAGTATTCTAATAATGCTGATGTATATTTCTACGTTCTTAAAAATATTATTAAAATGTAAATATATGATATTTTTTAAATAGAAACTAAAAGTATAATGATAAAAATATAAAAAATATAAATATATATTTTGCAAAATTTATTTATTAATTTATAAAATAAAATATATAAAAATTATATAATATATAGAAATATTTATTTTAATATTTAAAAAAAATAACATATATAATATAAGAAGTAGTTAATATATCAGAAGTAAGTAAGTGAATGTTATAATACTTAATATTTTAAATTCTATAATATAATAAAATAAAATATTAAAAAATTAGCAATAGGATAGCATTACAATGTAATAAAATGAAAGATTAAGAAAATAATAAAAATTATTATTTATAGACTTCAGTTGTAATGTACAATATAAATTAGAATTATTAATTTTTAAATATAACTATTAATCATAAAAAAGAATCAAGATCTTCGGTGACTTTTTTCTTTTTTCACTTTTTTTTATTTTATATTAATAACTTTATATCAAGCAAGCATAAAGAAATAAGAATTATCATTAATTAATTTGAAAATAAATATGCCAAATAAAAATACAACATATAAGTAAAGTGATCATTTATTATTAAGATAGTATATTTCAGTTTTTCTTCAAATAAAATTTTACTAATATTGAAAGTAATTTCTTTCATTTCTTTCCATCACTTTTGAATAATGCATTTTATATAAAGACCAATTAGTATAATTACTATTTCTACAAAACTCATGTCTAAAATATGATATCTATATCATATGAAAATTGAAAAAATTATATGCAAAGATATCAAAAATAATAATGCCCATCAGAATTTCAATTATAGAAACTATACAAAAATTGAAAAAAGAAATAAAGAATAGAAAAAAAAATTTGTCGCTAAAAATAAAAAAAAAATGAGGAAGAAAAGGAAGAAGGAAGAGAAGGAGGACAACTAAATATAAAGAAGAATAGGAGAAAGAAAAAAAAGTATAATTATCTTTAACAAGAAGCACTTAAGCAAAAATAACAAATTGAATAAAACGCGAATCAAAACATAAATTTTTAAATATAATATAATTTAATTAAAATTAAATGATATTTACAATGATGCTACTATATTTTTATTTTTCTTATTTTTAAGCGTTTTTATTTTTAAATAAAAGATTGAAAATATTTTTTTATTTTAAAATTTGAGCTGAATTTTATTTTATTTTTTGAAAAATTATTTTCTAAAACCCAAACAAACATATTTTTTTCTTCTTATAGCCGACAAACCTCTCAATTTTTTAATTATTGTCAGGTAACTAGCTTAAAAAGTTTGATACTTTTCATTATTAATATGTATTGTCGATATTTTATATATGCAAAATTTAAAAACAAATTATCACATTTAACATTATAATATTTAATCATGTGTATGTTGACAAAATGTCTCGTCACATAAGAAAGTTAGTAACAATCTGAACAAGTTTGATGAGGGTAAGAGATGAATTCCCCCTACCCTTCATTTTTGTACATATAATAAATTAATAGCTTAAATATATTTTTATATTTTTTATTTTACCTCGTGTCAATTATATGTGAGGTTATGTTAATGAGAGGAACTAAGACACCAAAGTCGTATAAATATAAAGACCAAAATCATAAAACAGAATTGGAAGGATTAAAATAAAAAAAGCTCATAAAAATATAGGAATTAAAAATACACTTAAAGATAAATTATTTAAATGAATAACATAAGTCTAAGTAATTTTTTAAAGTTGTCGTGAAGTGCTGAATACTAATTTTTTAAAAAAAAAATACATTTTCTCATTTCAGGTCACTCGCACAACCTAAACTATTTTAAAATGATTATTCATCAAACATTCTCTTAAAACATGGAGATTAAATAAAAATATATTTATATTATCAATAAAAATTATTAATATGATCAATAAAAATTTAAGGGAGAGACACAACGTTTTAGGCGAGGATATCGGTTCAAAGGTTAAAGTTTCCTTGAGTATCACAAAGTACAAAATATTATATCAGATAAAACGGAGAAATAAGAATGAACTTGGAGGACCAATGATAAGTCTGTAATTAGACCCTCTTTTACAGCCCATATATTCATATTTGACCTTTATTTTATTTGAGTTTTACACTAATTTATATATTAATTATGCAGTTTGATATAAAGAAGCCGCAAGTGAATTTTGGGTGCATTCTGGTAGGGATGGAAACAGGCCAGGCCGCCTGACAGGAGCTGTGGCCTGGCCTGGTTTAGGCCTGACCTAACTTTTTTAATAAACAAACCAAGCTTAGACTTTTTTTAAGGCTTTATCAATTTTATGTGTTTACTATGACTTTATTTGTTGAATATAAGATATCTTTAAACAAACAAAATATGTTTCTAAAATAAAACTAAAATATTTAATATTTATATAATTTTAAAAATAAATCAAGAAAAATATAAATATAAATTTTATTAATATAAAATATTTATAATTAATACTTAAATAATATTTTAAAAATTATTTAATAATTATTAATAACATAGATAGAAATTAAAAATATATATAAACTAATTTGATAATAAAATATTTATATTTTTATTAATATTAATTTTTTTTTTTGTAACAGGCTTTGTTAACAGGCTTCAGGCTAGGTCAGGCCACTTAAACAGGCCAGGCCAGACCTAAAATAAAGCCTTTAACAGGTAACAAGCCAGGCTCAGGCTTAATAATTATGTTACAGGCCAGGCCTGTTTAGAGTAAAGTCTAGCCTGACCTGTTTCCATCCCTACATTCTGGGCCCAAATTGATGGAAGATTAGAATTTCGCAGCAGTCAGCACGCTTAGACTCATTCAATAAGCACGAGGTGCTTTGAGCCCATGCACAGTCGTGCTTAAGGCCTTGCACGGTTGTGCTCATTTGCAGGAAGTCCATTTATAAAGAGTTTTTAGGGTTTTCAAACCCTATTAAAAACAAGACCTGAGGCACCATTGGGGAATACCATTTTTACATCTTAGCTTTGGCTCTAGAATACATCTGATCTCGTCTCTCTTACACGGGATCCTTGGTACATGCTTGGTGACACTTAGAGCTTCGACCGATCGTACTTGAAGACCGGGAACACATCTCACACTCTAGTTTGCTATTTCTTTTGATTATGGCTTTGTTTATGATTATTTTAGTTCTTTTCATTAGCATGAGTAACTAAGTCTATAGCTAGGGCTATGAGAACTATTATTCATGAATTTATAGAATTTTGATATTTGAATTTAAATTTGATTTCTGTTTCGTGATTAGATTTTATCCTATTGTGTTTCTCTCTTAATCCTAATTAATTA